CCCCCCCCCCACTATAACACCACAAACGCCAGCGAGAAAATACGAAAAATGATCCAAGAAAATTCACAGACACGTTGGAAATGCTTAAGATGGTGCGCGAATAACGACAAACGCTCAAATGCTGGATTGGGAAGACTGGAATGAGGGTCTAGGGCCTGGGAAAGCCAGTGTTCTCGCGAGGGATTTTTCGGTGGATGGCAATAAAGGACGGGGAAAGGTCGAAGCCCAAAATGGTCGAGTTGAGAGAGGGGAAAAACTCAGGGCTTTCCCCTCTGCGTCGGGACCTCAGGCGGTCAGGAAAACCAAGGGATCGAGAGAGATAGATCATTATAACTATGTGAAAAACCTGGTGTGGAGGGGGCATTTTTAGGTAGAGAAGAGACAGCCCATGACTATTGGGGTACACAACACACACATATATCTTTATCTATTGTCATGTGCACTCTGCGTACGTACGCCGAGGATGGAAGTGATGTAGAATTTTAATGGCCATTCGCATTTGGGAAAAATATATTTAATATTCATTATGTATAATTACCGTTAATAACTGTCATCACTTTTGTTATCCTCGTAATTATGATTGCTGTTGCTATTAGTATTACTATCACTTGGAATTTTTCGGATTTTTGCTTCAGTGGGAGATTGTTGTTGTTGTTGTTTGGATTTACAGAGTTATTTTCGGAATTTTTGATTTTTTGAAAATGAGACTTCTCATTTTCAAAAAATCAAACATTCCGGAGATGTCTGTGGATATCATGCGGCAAGTTGATTCAATCATAGCTGGAAATACTTCCATTACATACTCTGCAAATTTCGAATTTTTCGAAAATTTATCTGAAAGTGAATTTTTTGATTTTTTCAAATGTGATGTTTCAAATTCATTCAATCATGGAAGAAAAATGGTATTTAAAATAATAACATTTATAAGATTGTCGTTGTTTACATTTACAGAGTTATTTTCGGAATTTTGGATTTTTTGAAAATGGGAATTCCGGAGATATCTGGGATATCACGCTTCAAGTTGATTCAATCATAGCTGGAAATATTTTTTCCATTACCCTGCAAATTTCGAATTTTTCGAAAACTTCTCTGAAAGTGAATTTTTTATTTTTTCAAATATGATATTTCAAATTCTTCAATCGTGCAAGAAACAAGTTTTTTTACTACCATTTTTGAGGCCACGTCATATGACCAGACAATGATGCTCATATGACGCACAAATTTGTTTACTGAAAATGATGGTCACAAATAATTTGAAAGCAAATTGCTGTGGCGGCGTCAAGTGTAATCCTACTCTGAGCAGTCAAATCTCGACTAGATCCGGATTGAATCCGGTACTGCTCAGAAAGATGGAATCCTAGAATTTTGACCAGACATGGAGCCAAACAAACATTACATTTCTGATCAAAAACTGATCAAAGTCAGTTTTTACTGGCCAATCTCTTATTCTATCCGGATTTGAATTTCCACTCGGATAGATGCGAGCCCGAGGGGCTGATCACTCCTCAATCGAGTGACTCAGTGATATCCCGAATCAGATGATTTTCTGTGATTTCCTGTTGATTTCTGTGATTTCTCGAATGATTTTTGTGATTTCTCAATCAGCATTAGAAATCATAATTTTTTGTGATTTCCATGATTTCTAGTAGAATCTAATGATTTCTTGATTTCTTGAAAATTTTTGTCGCAAAAATAGATTTAGTAGTTCAAAAAAATTGCATTCTCTGTACACGCAAGAAATGTTATTTCTAGCACTACTCCTTCGTTATTCGATACTCCCATACGTATTTTGCTCCCGAAAAATCTTTGTTTTATGCGAAACAAGGGATAGTAATTTTTCGTTTCGGCTGTCTAATAATCACAGACAACAAATGAACCCTTAAATGAAACAATAACAATGACATGATAGCAATCGTGTAACTTAGGGATAAAATATTTGTTGATAAATTTTCCTCTATATGAGATATTTTCATCCTGAAAAGGCACCGTCTGGTGTGAATTATCCGCCTCTTGAGCCACATATTTCGTTGCTGTCGAAAGCAGAACAATTATTCATGTTTTAGACTTTCAAATTCGAACCAAACAAATTCTTTTTGGCAATTTTCAACTCGCGATTTTGTTGGCCCGAACAAGACTTGTTTGACAACGTGTTTGTTTTTCTCTCAATGTAAGCTCGCGACGCCGCGCTTCCATCAGATCTCCCTATAATGCAAGGAAATTATCCGCAAAATCTCCATCCGGAAGCTTATTGCCAATTTACTAATAGATATACTACGACGAAGATAAAAGCAATTATTCCCTTTTTATAATTCCTAAAAAAATTGCAATTCTGCAAAAATCGGAAAAATCGGCAACAAAATGTTGAAAGAAAATTAATCGTTGGATGGAAGAATATTTCAAGAAACGATATCTCGGCGTTCCTAGCCGTCACCTGAAAGACCTAATTCACTAGAAATTTCATGTTTGATAAAAATTACGAAACACTCGCACTTGATTCAGCGTTATTTTATTCATCATTGTGTGGCGTTAGGGCCTACGTGAAACACCTGCGAGAATTATGAAAAAAGGCCGAACGGAAAGCCCATCCCCACTACGATATTTTCCACGGGTTTCGGGTCGAACGAGTCGCATGGCTGCAGCAGGCAGCGAAAACCTGCGCGGTTGGCGGAGGGGAGGGGGAAGGCAGTGCGTATCGTTTTTCTCCATCAGGGTTGTGAAAAACGAGACGGAAAAGCAACTGGAGGGCCTCACCACACCCTGTGGCGCTCCCCTCCTACACCTTCGTCCTCGGGGATCTGAAATTGTGAGTTTAGCACACATTTGAGTCGCACGATCCCGGAGCGATTGAACTAGGAAAAATATAACTTGAATTCCGAAGATTGAAATCAGGGATGAGCAATAATATTAGATTTCGACAATATTAAAAAGCGATTATCTCATTATATTGTTCAAAGTTTATCAGTATTTAACAAATTCACAATATTATAAAATTTATTAACTAAATTTTCCGATTGATGGTGAATAAAATATTTGATAATATTGAAATGTAATTTTTAGTTAACAAGCTAATTCTGAATTTAGGTACTTGATTTTTCGATTATCTGAATAATCGTCAATCTTCTTACCTAAATTATTGGTTGATAGAATATTTCGAAATTTAAATGTACAAATTGATGATTAATTTAACATTTAAAATTTTTAAATTTATGTTACACATTGACAACTTCACAATTTAATGGTATTAACACAATTTGATTGATATGTCTATCACTGATTGAAATCTGAAATGAATTCTGAAGCAAAATTAATATGAATAGAAACTTTCGATAGAAAAAGCAAAAAAACTTCGGATCAATATTTTCATCACAAAAGACAATTAAAACGGGAATGAGGGATTCAAAATCTGTCCCCTCCCTGCCCTCTCTCTTTCTGCGTCACTCTATTTCATTTTCCAAAGAGGAATCAGCTTATAAAAAATCATCTATGACGAATAAATATTTTTTTCAGCATTTCAAATTTATATTTTTCTGTTACGATCAACGACTCAACTGGAGTCTATTCATACTACTTTAATGCCTTCCGGTTCGCCCTTCACCGTGCACATGTAGGCATTATCTTGCTGTATCGTCTGAGACCGAGAATTTTTCCGGTGTTAATTGGATCTACTGTTATCCCGAAATCTGAGTCGGAATGTTCTTTATTCAAGAACATTTCCCATTTGGAAAGGAATATCATTCTTGATATTTAATTTTATTTTTGAAGATCGGCACAAGCCAGTTATGCAATGAGAGAAAAATTTCCTCATATGCAGGGCATATTGGCGTCGGCTCACGGTACCCCACTCTTCGCCGATTTCTAGTGGTGTGCGTGTGCCCGCGTGCTTCTCTTATGGCGCACCAATACTCGGACGGACCCCCCACTCCTCTCACACCGAGTCGATCCGAGACTCACCCGAAGCGATGGGTTAAATCTCAGAATGTTTGCGCTTCACGGAACGCGGAGAAACTCTCATTTATCATTATTCTTTCCCCTACATCATTAAGATATTACATATCGCAACGTTGGAAGTGCATAAAAAAAATCATCACAATTGGGAAATTGGTTTTATATTAATATAGTATAGTTTTTTTGCTAATCAATTAGCAATATGTTCCGAATGTACATTTTGCGCATCATCTGCTTCTATAGTTCATAATTCATCATTTCATATAATTTTATTAA